GCATAAGAAAATGAACCAATCAAAGTACTTTATTTTTTTCCTTTTCATGAAATAAAGGACTCTGATTGATTGATTTTCTTATGCCTTGTGTTTATATGTAAAACACATGCAAAGGAATAGCGATAGCGATAGGAATAACACGATTTCAACCTATCAGAAAGTGTATATTCCAGTGTATCTCATTTCTGATAGGGTAATGTTATTCTTATCGCTATTCCTTCAACTTGTGTTTAATACTTAAAAGTATGTGCTCCCCGCTTTTATTTTGAACATGCGACGCGAACAAACCTTAGGATAAAATCACACGATGCGGAAAAAACTGCGGAATAAAGAATGCGTCATTAAAATAACCAATTAGTGCTTTGAAATAACGCAGAATAACACTGATTGATTGCTTTTATGACGCATTCTCTATTCCGCAGTCGTTTTTCGCACCGTGTGATTTTCCCTTTATAATGCGGTTCCATGGTACAGAATTGGCAGAATGTTCGTGATTGGTCGTAACTTAATTCCACCGATTCCGTCGTTTTTTGTTGCGCAAATTTATTTCTTTTGCGGATTCCGCCAATGTCTGCGTGTGTGCGTGTATACTTATAAAAACTAACCTTATTAAGCTGATTTAAATGGAAAAAACTGTCTCCTTCAAGCGCATGGTTAATCAATATGCTGAGACGTGTTCGGATTCCCACCTAGATGTTCTTCGGATGTTATGTCGTCCTTGTTTAACATTCGGTAAATAATAAGAATAGAATGATACTTGGGTAGCACTCGGTGGGAATCTGAACATAACCTTAAAGATAATTAATTAAGTCTCTAGATAAATACGAGGATCAATATGCTCAGAACACAAATGTTATATATATAGTATACAGAAAAGCAAAAATATAAATCAAAATCAAAATGGGTACACAAAACAAAGTCGGGGCAATGTTTCTGTATGTATGTATGATCCGCAGGAATTCATTTTCCTATGTCCCATTAAGTAGAATTTGCAGATGCGCAATCAATGCAAGCCAATGACAAACGCTATTCTGATAGATCTAATAAAAGTAATTTAAAGGAAGACTCTTGTGATTGGTCAGAGTTAATTGCATATTCCGCTCAATGAGACATAGGAAAACACATTTCAGCGGAACGGAATCGGCGGAATAAAGTCACGACCAATCACAAACGTTCCGCCAATTCTGCACCTGAGACCGTGCCATTAGGCAAAATAAGCGGAAACAGAACACGCAGAATAATATGAAATTATAGAATGCGCTCCCATGGGATGCGGAACTGCGGAACGTTCATGATTGATCATGGCTTCATTCCGTCAATTTCACCGTTTTCTGTTGCGCAAATTTATTTCTTTTGTGGATTCCGCCGATGCTTGCGTGTATATGTACTTATAAAAATTAATTTTGTTAGTGATTTAAACGGAGAAAAGAGTCTTCTATACAAGCGCATGATTAATCAACATACCGAGGCATATCAAATAATTCCCACCTGGGTGTTTTCTTTGTCATGTCATCTTTGTTTAACGTTCAGTAAATAACAAGAATGGAATAATACCTGTATAATACTCGGATGATAATCAGAGATTGCTGTCCCATATGCTGAATTCACATTTACATTGAATCCGACGTGCGTCGTGCGACGTTCTACAACCAATCAGAAAACAGAATTTTCTTTCATATCGATGATAAGAAGCAAAATCTTGTTTTCTGATTGGTTGTTGAGTGCACGTCAGATTCAGTGTAAATCCAGCAATGAAGCGGAAGTTAGCAATGGAATGGAATCAACACGACGAATCACAGCCACTTCGTTTTCTTTCTTATGGCTTTTGCACACTGGACGCTTGCGGCAAGCATTTCTGCGTTTAGTGTGCAGAATTAGGGTGCCGTCCCATGAGAATAGCGAAACCAATCACAATCGCAGAAAAGAAAGGAGAGTAATAACTGCAGAGTTGTGGTCGTGCTGTTCTGTTCCGCTGTAAATTTCTATTCATAGGACGGCATTCTTAGGAAAAGCGTTTCTGCATACTGGACGCGAAAACGCTTGCCGTGCGGCAAAATGAGACGCGATAACCAATAAACACATTTGGAGCTAAAGGCTTATTGGCTACCGCGTCACAATTTGCCGCGCGACAAAAGTTATCGCACTAACCAATAATCTATAATTCTATGTTCTTAAGTCTGCCTCACCATGCAAAACTTCTAGAAATAATATTACTTCCGTTACGCGGCAAAAGTTGAATTAAGTTCAACTTTTGTCTCGCGGTAGAAATTATATATCTATTACTTTTAAGCAAGCGAGACTTTTGATTGGCTAAAGCAAAATAAGCGGAAGCAGAACAGGCGGAATAATATGAAATCATACTTTTTATATTATTTACAATGCCTGTAATAATAAAAATAATATTTTCATATAATCACCGACAAGATACTATTAAAGACC